ACTGCTGATACCAAGGATGTTGATCATGGATCCAGGTAAGATGAAATCATTGGCAACTTCATTCTTCTTTCCATCATGATGTTGCCTATCAGTCCAGTGGTGAGAATGTTTGCCTTTTTTATGTTGAGAATGCAGTGCATGTTGAAGGCTGTATTTTTTTTGTCTTCTGCAGCAAGCATTTCAAGTCCTCACTTTCAGCAAGCCTGGACATGCCATCATCATAACATAGCTTGTTGATGAATCTTTCTCTAATTCTGATCCCACACTCTTCTTCATAGAGTCCAGCTTCTCTAATTATTTGCTCAGTGTACAGATTAAATGGATATGGGGAAAGGATACAACTAGATGCATCGCTTTGCTGATTTTAAGCCATGCCATGTTCCGTTGCTCTGTTCGCACAACACCTTCTTGGTCTAGGTCTAGATTTTGCGTAACTACTATTAAGTGTTCTAGGATTCCCATTGTTGTCTATTTTAGCCTTTATTTTTTATGAGCTTCATAGTCAAATGCCTTCTCTTGGTCAATAAAGCACAAATAGACATTCTTCTGATATTCTGTCCTTTCAGCCCGGTTCCATGTTACATCAGCAATGATATCCCTAGTGCCATGGCCTCTTTTTAAACCTCTCTTGAACTTCTGGCAGTTCTCTTTCAATGTTATTCAGGCTGTTTTGAGATGACCTTCAGCAGTATTTTGCTTGCATGTGATATTAATTATATTGTTTGATAATTTCCATATTCTGTTGGATCACCTTTCTTGAGAATGGGAACAAACAAGGACCTCTTCCAGTCAGTTGGCCAGACATCTGTCCTCCAGTTTCTCATATATACTGGCAAGCATGTCTAGCACTTCATCTGTTAGATAAAATATGTCAGTTAGTATCACATTGATTCCTGGGGCCTTATTATTTTTTTCATTTTTTTATTAAATTTTATTAATTTTAATGAACATTTACAGAGATTTTGGGTTTCCATTCATTCATTGTTGCACTAGGGCCTTATTTTTAAAAATTATATATATATTTTTTAAATTGTGTATGTGTGTGTGTGTACCATCAAATCGGATCTGAGTGGTACAGGAGGAGATTGCCCCTCCTTCTCCAGCAGAGCATCTGGTCGATTTGAACTGCTTACCTCTGGAATTGCAGTGCACCTTCTTGTCACTAGGCCACCAGAGCTCCCTAAATTATATATACAGTTTATATTATAAATTGTTGTGTGCTGTTAGGTTGGGACCCACTCATTGCTCATCATCCAGTGGGTTTCAGAGGCAGTCAGTCACATGGGAAAAGACCATCCAGCCTTCTCCTGCAGAGAGGCTGGTGGATTTGAATAGTGCCTCTGAGATTACTGTGCAGCTTCTTCTCACTAGGCCCCCAGAGCTCCCTGTATTATAAATATACATGTTCTATTTTAATAAGCATGCATTTGGCACAGTGTTCTACAAAGCTCTTTTCTTTCCTGGTGTTTTCATATTCTAGTTTTATTTCTAATTTGCTGTTTTAAATAAGTTTATCTTGAAGATTTTTAGTCCCTTAGTTGTAAATCTTGGTTTCTTCAAAAACCAGAATTGTGTTTTCGTAATTCAAGACAGAAGCTGAGCTCCTGTTTATGTTTTAGAAGCTACCATGTTTTGAGTATAATCTTTGGAAAATGTTTATTCTAACTCAGTTTATGAGTTTGATTTTTATTTTCTTTTTATGGTTTTCTGTAGCCAAAATAACTAGTCTTTTTATACTATTTATAAGTTTTAACAGACCTGAGTTGTTTGTTTGTTTTTTTTTTTACAGTATTCATCAGTCTTTTTATTTACAAGAAATTTTAACAGTCTTCATGGACTTAAATGTAGCTGATATCAGACCTGAGTTGTAATCAAAGAAATGGTGTTAGGATAGAGCACTCGTGCACGTCTGTGCAGCTCACAATAAAGGAGGCGGTTCTTGTTTACAGTACATGACATGACACTGCAACTCTGGGCGATGCCCCAGAGGCACCAGCCCTGCCTGTAAACCCGCCAGGGAACTAACTGGTTAATTGTGAGGCTGAACCGTGGCCCAATCCGGCTGGAGCCCTGTGCAGGCGCCGCCCAGTGGCTCCAATTCCTAGCCGGGCTTTGTGGCTGCGAGCGGAGCCATCTTGGTGCTGCAGTGTGGACTGTCCCCGTGCTGTCATTGCAGAAGGGCCCTGTTGGAGGTGTGTGGCTATTGGCCCCACAGGCAGGTGCTGGCCGGCTGGGCCAGCCATGATGGCGGCCAGCTGACTCGTCTGTGTTCTCTGGTCAGGCTGTGGCTGAGACTTGCAGGTTCTGGGCGAGAGAACCCTGACTGTGCTGCCCAATGGGGAGTGAGGCCCTAAGGGGCAGGAGGCCTCCCACTTGTGCCAGGTGTTTGGGATTACTTCTGGTCCCTCAGGCCGTAGCCTGCTTGGGTCAAACTCGCTTTTGAGCTGCAACTACCTCAGCTGGTGGACAGTGGGTCTCTGACCTTGTGGCCCTCACTGCTGTGGAGTGCTGAGAAGCACCTGCAAGTGGTGGTTGCTGTGTCTGGGGTTGCGGAGGCCCGCCCTGGAGTTCTGAAGGCTGAGCGGGTGTGCACTGACTGCAGCTGCATGCCATTTGCCAGAACTCTGCCTTTGGTGGTGACTGCCTGGCAGTCTGCTACTATTTTCAGACCGTCTTTCTAGAATGTTACTGGGTTAGGGCAAACAGGCAGCTTTATGGGCTCCTCTGTGTCACGTGAACATTACACATGTGACGTGCAGGGAGGCTGTGTGGATCAGAAGGAGGCTGGGCTCTGATTGGAGTTTTATTCTAGATAGGTGCAAGGTGGCCTGCTGGCCTGTGCTGCAAGTCTTCTCCAGCCCCAGTGGGACAGGGTGACTGGCACTGGCTTGTGCATGTGGTGGCAGGCATGTGATTGAAGAAGCAGCCAGCTCCCAGGAGCTCTCTAAGGCCTGGGACCTGACACCCTGTTTTCACCTTCTGCCTCACACCAGGGCTCACAGGCAACAGCAGCACAAGCAGAGTCCAGGTGGTGAGGATGGTGAGGGGTCAAGCAGTGCTTTCTTCTGTTGTACACGGGTCACTGGGGTCGGAACTGACTGGATGGCACCCGACGGCAATAGCAGCACAAACCGTGGGGTGGATGAGAGCTGGAAGGCTGACTGGGCCAACCAGTGTCGGCGGGCAAATGCCCAGGAACTCAGCACCAGCCACTCCAGCCTTGGCTTGGGTCTGTGGATTGAGTTACGGCTGTAATGCAGCAGGAGTGCCATGAGGCCTAGGCTCCTTGTGGAGGGCACCCGGGCCTGCTCACAGCGTGCCCAGCAGGACTGGCTCACACGCTGTGCACACATCCTGGACCCCCAGTTGGGTGGGGAACGGGTGGTGCAGTAAAGTTTTCGTACATGAGCAGTGGTTTGTATTCCCAAAGAATATTTGAGCGCTTGTCTTTTCAGGGTGTGTGGTAGTTAGGAACTCAGCCATTGGTACAAAAATGCTGTCTGGAATGCCCTTCTTTGCCTTTGCTTGGATCTGATCCCACAGCAGCTGTGTAGTTTGCAGCACCGCGGTGCTAGGCGGGGCACTGCCTGTTTGTGAGGGGCTGTGTGTGTGGAGAGTATTGTTAGCCAGAGGAAAGTCTGAGTCATTCTAAAGACCTCACTAGGACAATCCAAGAAAGACAAGATACTCAACTTTTTAAAAATTTTTTTTTTTAAATCCTCTTCTCTGGCCGTGAAACTGTAAACAGCATGTTCTGTAACTGAGGCGCGCATGGAAGCTCTGTTGTTCGACAGTCCTGAGCTTTCAAACCACAGAGGGACAGGCCTGTGCTTTCCTCAGCGACCCCCAGGAGCTGTCTCAGGAGAAAGATGTGTTCATGCTTACATTCCATTCAGACCATGCCTTCTTGATTGTAAAATAGACCACCACTTACCCACTGCCAGCTGGTGGATTCTAACAGGCTCAAAGGATAGCTGCCCATTCAGTTTACAAGGCTGTGATCATTGCTAAAGAAGACTGCCTTATCTTTCCCCGAAGAATGCCTGGTGGGTTCAAACTGCTGACGCTTTGGTCTGTGGTAGGCTGTTTGAACCACCTCATCACCAGGCCCCTCTTGCAGGGCAGCTTCTGCATTTGCCTACTCACTGTTTTTGTCTTGTACCATTTACTGACACCAATTACATTAGTCACATCCCAGATCACCACAAATTGACCCCCTGTCCCCACCCTCCTGATAGCACTGGTCTGTGTCTTTCCCTGCTGATTAGATGGTACTGGCCCTGCTTTGTGTAGTTCTTAGGCTCAGCAGGTTGTTGTTCTGACCTCTCCGTGCCCTGGTGCACTCGTCCTGTGGTGCTCCTTGCATGGGTGGGCCAGCATGCCAGAGGACATCTGACCCTCTAGGAATTGAGGAGTAAATTTGGAAAAGGGGTTCTGAGTTACTTCTAGTACTTGTATTTGAGCACACCCAATTTTCATAATGACTCCCATTGCCGGGAGTCTATTCTGACTCATAGAGACACCATTCAGGATTTCCACTTGTTGCTTTTTGGGAGATGAACTATAGCAGAAGTTACCTATGAATATCTACCCCATCCTGCTTAAAAAGAGGAAACCGGAGCTCCTGGTCTTGGCTTGTTTTGTTGAGCTTGTTTGAGGGTTGTTTTAGAGGCAGGGATGACTCAGGGTGGTTAGCCTAAACAACTGAAGAAAGTCCAGCTGCCTTTTCCAGAGAGTGGAGAGTGATGAAGGGAAAAGGAGCTTACGGACCCTGGTGACTGTGGTCCAAAGCCCCCATCCCCTCCTCAGAGGACGATGAGGCTGCCTGGTTCTGCACGTCGACAGCCGTGGGAGCTCTGCAGAGCAGCGGTGCCCTGTCCTGGAGGTGACTGGAGACGGCAGAAAGCTGCAGGCATGGTGCGGTTGGCTTCTGTGCAGTCTCACCTTCTACAAACCTTTCATTTCTCTCCATCTCTGCAGGATGATCTGAGACTGTGAGCATGGACTTTTCTCGGCTCCACTTGTACACCCCTCCTCAGTGTGTGCCAGAAAACACTGGCTATACATATGCACTCAGGTGAGTATAGGCCCAAGCGTGACCTCCAGGGCCATGCCCCGGGAGGGACAGTGCATACCTCCAGTCCACAGTCTCGCAGCCAGAGCTGAGGCCTGTGTGTCCCCTCACCTGTGTCTTCACCACAGCCTACTTCTGTCTCATCAGGGACTCCCCCACCGTGTGTCTGCCACACCCCACTGCTGTCCCTGTGGGGGCCCCCTCCCCCATGTCTTTGCCACACCCCACTCCTGTCTCTGCTCAGCCTGTGACTCAGCACTTAGTCATTGCAGTTGCTGTTTGAGCCCCACCCAGGCCAGTTGTGATCTCTAGCACCAACCTCTGGCTGTGGTCAGTGCTCTGATTGAGATCAGTGGCACCTTCTGGTCCTAGGATAGCAGGCTTTGCTACAGCCCCAGGTCTCCAGGGAGCACTGTGCTGGGGCTGTCTGTGTTCTCGTTCAGGCTCTGATGTGCTAAAACTTGGAGCTTGCCTGTGAGACTTTGCAGGAAGGATGGTGTATGGGTTAGGCACCTGGTTGCTAGGCCAAGTACAGTTTGTTTTGAGGCACTTGTGTGCCCGCCCACCCATTTTTGGCATCCAAGGCAGCTGCGAATGTGCCCCAGTGACCCTCCCTTTGTAGAAAAAGGGTGGGGTCAAACCTGAGAAAAGCTGAAAGTAATTTAAGCATTTATTGAGTCTTGCTGGGTGGCTGGACTCTCTCAACTCTGGGTGATGGCAGAGCTCTCTGCCGGTATGCTCTGTGAAGGCTCTGTTCAGTGCACCTCTCTCCAGGGGAAGCGGCTCTGTCCTATTGTGAGCAGAGAAGTTCTTGAGAACTGAGGTTGAGCTTCTAAAGCTTGTTTGGGATCCAATTTCTTTAAAGTGAAACATGTATCAGGAGTCTCCATGGAGACAGAACCCTGAGTCAAGGAGTGCCCACCCTCAGTCAGGGATAGGAGGGTAAATCTGGGGGTCGAGGGCTGGGAGCTGTCTGAAGAGGCAATGATGAGAGAGAATGGAGCTGGGTGGGTCCTTGTAAACATGCTGGACCTTTCCAGGTCACGTACACTGCCTAGTTCAGACTTTTTCAACCTCAGTGTCCATCCATCGAGGCAACTTCCAAGGTGTCCTTTGATCACTGCCTCCTCAGACATCCATCCCTAAAAGTTCTGATGCTTGAATCTCTGACTACTGTGCCGATGTCACCCCTCTAAGAGAAAGCTGTTTACCGCACCTACATATCAGACATTGATCCGTGTTTCCGCGCCAATCAGTTCTGAGTCCTGTCTCACAGGCTCCCCGCAGTCCGTCAGTTCTGAGTCTTCTCACGCAGGCTCTCTGGTTACTTTCTGGTCATCTGTCGCTGATTCTCCACTGCTGTTTCTTGTGAACTGACTGACTGGCACAGTCTGGGATGGTGATGGCTCCTGTGACTGCAGGAAGAGCTGTCTGACACCGGGCTTCCATTCTCTTCTCTGGCATTGCAAATCCCTGTCTGCTTTGGCTCCTCCTAAGCACAGCAGTGATGAGGGTCACCTCTGTCTCTGGTCAGGGAAGACACCTGTCCCAGGAGCCTGCTCTGTCTGCTCTCAGGCCCACTTGACCATATATGCTAGACTCCAGGGTCAGAAGAGTACTGTTGCCTTTCCTTCTTTGGGGATGAAGTCACCTCAGGTAGGTGGGGTGGAGACAGCTCACAGACACCCCTACAGACACTGAGAAGGGATGGTCTGGGGAAGGAGTGATGACGAGAGAACCTGAGAGATGGGAACTCACTGGGATATCAGCACTAGAAACTCCGTGGACCACCATGGCCTCTCATGGGGGACATTGATGGGACTCAGTGGCTCTGTAGCATGTGTGAGGGGAGGGTTGAAATTGAGGTAGAGGCAGCACTCCAGCAGGTGAGGATGATGAGGGACTGAGGCCAGTGGCTGTGAGTGAAGGCTCCTTAGTTATTGGTTTATTATGGGGAGAGGTGTGGGCTTGTCTCCAAAGAGCTACATGATGATAGACTATATGGATGTATTCACCGTGTAGACAGATATCTGATGGCTTTAAGGATGTATCCACAGTATAGACAGACATCTGAAGGCTGTATGAATGTGTCTGCAAGTGTAGACATATATCAGATGTCTGTTTGGATGTTTCACAGTGTAGACAGACACCTGATGGCGGTATGGATGTGTCCAAAGTGTAGACAGACGTCTGATGGCTGTATGGATGTGACCACAGTGTAGACACACCTGATAGCTGTATTGATGTGTCCACAGTGTAGACAGATGTCTGATGGCTGTATGGATGTGACCACAGTGTAGACAGACGTCTGATGGCTGTATGGATGTGTCTGCAGTATAGACAGACACCTGATGACTATATGGATGTTTCTGAGTTGAGGGCAGCTCTTTCTGCAGTGGATTGTGGCAACTGGAAGGCATTTTCCTCTCAAGAAATTCTTTTCTGGAAAATAACTCCACTGTTTACTGCTTTCTCCTATCTATATTTGTTTTGTTCACTTATGATCAGTTTTGGGGGGGGGGCGGTTCCCTACATCCAAGTGACAAATTAAAAAAAAAATGATACTAATATCTAAATATATGCCCTATGGGATTAGAGCAAGAGGAAACTTGTGATAGTTCTGTGCATAATCCATGTTTATACCCTGACTCTGACACCTCATTCTCCAAACTAATTGGAGTGTTCTCCCCCCAGAGGAAGAATGACAAGGTGCTTTGATCCCACAGCACAGGGAGCGGCACCTTGTGACCCTCTGAACAGGTGTGCCTTTGAGGCTCGGCAAATGATACTCTTCCTCCTAGAGCTTTATTGCACTTATCGGGGACCATGTCCTGAGTGTGGAGTCAGAGGAGACCTGGGAAGTCAACCCTGGTGCCACATCAGCAGCTGAGACCCTTGTCGGGGGACTCCCTGGAGCCGTGTATGACCGGGCACTGGGTCCTGAGCGTAGAACACGGGTTCAGGGTGCAGAGCATGAGTATCTTCCTCTCCTTCCTCCTCCTCCCACCCCCACACACTCAAATACCCATGACCATTCTACCACGAGGGGACAGTCCTGTACGAGCCCACTAACAGTGACAGCCACATCTTTTCACAGCTCCAGAGGTCACCTCTGTTCTTGGTTCACAACAGACCTTCCCCACCTTTGGATTACTCACATGTCAGTGTGAGTTTGAGGCCATGCCTGATTTTCATTTTGCTTGAGCATAAATAAGAGGACACATTCAGTGCGTGTGATGACTCAGAGTAGCTTGTATCTGTTGGCTTTTTGTTTAACTCAGCATGTTTCCTTGTATCCTTGATCCCTGCACCCAGCCCACCGCCATGGAGTCCATGCTGACATTTAGCCGCACTCTGTCTGGTTTTTGAGGCTGTGGATCTCTTGGGGACTTACTCAGGCACTCACTGACTGTTGGTTCCAGCTCCTGGAGACTCTCTATCAGGTTTTCAAGACTGCAGCAGATCACAGGAAAAGACTCCCTCCTTGTCCCCTGGAGCCACTGTTGTATTCAAACTGTCAGAGCAAAACAGCCTTTGGTCTAACAGTGCAACTTATTCCAACTCCACCATCAGAGGAGGAGGTCATATTTCCCCCTTGGAGTGAATGGTATATTTGAACTACTGAGCTTTCAGTTAGTGCCAAACACATAACACATCTGTGCTCCTTATCTTAGATCTAGTAAGTTGTTAAATAATGTGATTCTAAAAACATTTTTATACCTCCAGGCATAATGTGGTGTTTTCTGAAATAGATTTGCTTGCCAGCTTTCTTTTGTTTTATAGGACGGTTGTCTCACAAGTCAGAGTTTTCTGAGTACCTTGAGTTCTCACTGGACAGTTTGTGGCCTGTCCTTCAGAAAGGTGCTATGCTTGACAAGTCTTCTTATCTCCCAGTTCTAGCTACTCTTCGGAAGCTCTGGATTTTGAAACTGAACACAGGCTGGATCCCGTCTTTGACTCTCCAAGAATGTCTCGCCGGAGTCTGCGTCTGGTCACCCCAGCACTCCCCTCAGGGGATGGCCAGGATGCTGAGGGCCTCACCTGTGCCCAGAGCTCCTCCTCTGTGAAGGAAAGGGTGTCCAGGTGAGCTGAAGGTATTTCACAGGCCAGCTTACTCTCAGATTCAGGGCTGTCCCTTGTGAAGTTGTAGTTTCTTCGTGTGGACAGCTGAGGTGAAGCCAGGGATGTGTGGGAACGGCCTGAGGTTGATGCTTTGCAAGTTAAGGCTTTTAAGTTCTTTTAGTTTCTGGTGTAAAACCATGGCGAGAGCTTGCATATGACCACAAGCCAACACTCACAATGTAGAAAGCCTTACTCTTGTTGCTTCTGGGGCTGAACTTGAGATGTGGCCTGAGAGCAGGGATCGCATCAGAATCACTACATAGTGGACTGAGGTGTCTGCACTGCCCTGCTGTGTACTTGTGTGTCCATGTGGACCATATCTTAGAGAAGAAAAGTAAAGTCCTCACGGCCACCCATAAACAGCTGCTTGTACAGCTGGGAGAGGTGCGTCAGCGATTTCATTCCACTGAGTTAACATCCATGTGTGGAAGCAGCAGTCACGAAAACAAACAACATACTGCATCAGGCAAATTTGTGGCAAAAGGCCTCTTTAAAGTGTTGAAGAGCAGAGATGTCACTTTTTTTTTTGGTGGAGGATGCGGGCAGTTACTTTTAGGACTACGGTATACCTGACTCAAGCTGTGATGTTTCAGTCATTTTGAATTAGAAAATCAAATGATCTGCTATGCCAGCAATGAAAAATTGAGGAAGAATGATGTTGCTTTCATAGACAAAAAGAGCATTTCATGATCCATCTTGCAGCACAGTGCCATGTGTGACAGGACACCTTCTGTACATATACAAGAAGACCTGTTTTTTTTCTGGGGGTTTTAAAGAAGGCCTGTATAACTATCATGCAAATATTCATACCAGCTAAAGCAAAAAAGGAGGGAATTGATGATTTCTACCAGCTTTTGCAGCCTGAAATGAATCAAAAGTGCAATCAAGATGCATTAATAATAACTGGTGACAGGAACAAAATAGTTAGAAACAAAGAAAAGCTGGTAGTTGGAAATTTTGGAAGACAGAAATGAGGCTGGAGACTGAATGACTGAATTCTGTATAGTCAGTGATGTGTTCATTACAAATACCATTTCTAAAACACAAAAATCGAGACTATACACAGGGATCTCACCCCATGGGACTATATAGGAATCACATTGACTATATCTGTGAAAAGAATCAATGAGAAGCTCAGTATCAACAGTAAAAACCAGGCCAAATGCTGACTATAGAACAGACCACTCAGGTGAAAGTTCAAATTGAAGATAAAGAAATTGAAAACCAGAACCAAAACACAACCTTGAGTCTATCTCACCTGAAGTTAAAATCATCTTAAAAATAGGTTTGAGGCTTCGGCACTATTGGTTGAAGACCAGATGAGCTGTAGGATGACATCAAGGATCTCATCCATGCAGAGAGCAAGTTTACAAAGACAGGAGAGAAAGGGGAGACCCGGATGTGTGAGACTGAAATTGCACTAGAACATCGAGAAATCAAAGCAAAGGGAGGGAATGGCAAAATAAAAGCGATGGACACGGCATTGAAACAGACGAGGGAGAAAACTGTATAAAAGGAATAGATGATTAGGTATTATTGGCATGACAAGAGTCCAAAATAAGAGCTGCATAGTAAAGTGGTCTGGGGCTTGGGGGGGGACTGTTTAATAATGAAAGAACTTTTTTCCCCAAAGGAAAAAGCAAACTTAGCGGGGAGGGGGACAGGGAGGAACATGTGCAACAATGAAGGAATGGAAATCCAAGTTCTTTATAAACTTTCATTAAAATCTGAAAAAAAAGCAATGGACAGAAGATTTTAAAGGGTTGCTCGAGAAGACAGAGCAAGATATTATAACGAAATGTGAAAAGAACTGAAGTCAGAAAATAAAAAGGGAGGAACTTGCTTGGCATTTCTCAAAAGAATGGAAAACCAAATTTGAACCCCAAGTTCCAATAATGTAGGATGCTATGGACAAAGGTTTGAATGATCCAGGAAGCACTGAAAGAAGATGGAGGAAATACACAAAATAAACTGTTCCAGATAGAATTGGCTGACACAGAACCACTTCAGGAAATCACATATAATCAAGAGACAGTAATAATTAAGGAAGTTCAAGTTGCACTGAAGACATTGGGGGGGAAAAACCTCCAACTAAAACAAGGCCCCAAGAATTGGTGGAATACCAGTTGACATGTCCAGCAAACAGATGCATCCCTGGACATGCTCTCTGGCTGTGCCAAGAAATCAAGAAAACAGCCAACTTGTCAACTGATTGGAAGAGATCCATATTTATTCCCATCCAAAAAAAAAGGTGCTGAAGATCATTCAAAAACAGCTAGAATTTCAGTAATCTAGAAATTCAAGGTGAATTTAGATCATGGCACCAAGCAAGTCATTGTTGATGTCAGAGGGGTCTTGGCAAAGAACAGAAAGTACCAGAAAGATGTCTGTCTGTGTTTTATTGACTATGCAAAGACATTTGATTATGAGGATCACAACTATGGCTGACACTGAAAAGAATGGGGATCCCAGAACACTCAACTGTGCTTGTACAAGACATAGACTTAGACCAAGAGGCTGTTGTCCAAACAAAGCAAGGAAACACTGCATGGTTTAAGATCAAGAAAGATGTGTGTCTGGGCTGTGTACTTTCTCCATACCCATTCATTCTATATGCTGGGTAAATCATTCAAGAAGCTGGATTTGATGAAGAAGAATGTGTCACTAGAGTAGGAGAAAGACTCATATACATTTGCATTATGCAGATAACTCACTTGGCTTGCTCAAAGTGAAGAACACTTAAAATGCTTCCAGAAGACTACAGCTTTCAATATGGATTACATTTCACCATCAAGAAAATAAAAATCCTCACCACCGGGCCAATCAACAACATCTTGATAGATGGAGAAGGTTGAAATTGTCAGTCAGTATCCTTGGTACCGACAGTCAAGAAATCAAAACACTTAAGATATTGAGAAACTGTCAGGGACCTTTTCAAAGTGCTGAAAAGCAGTGATGTCAGTTTAAAGACTTAATGTGCACCTGATCCAAACCACGGTCTTTTCAAATACTGTGCATCTGAGTGATTACAGAAGTCTATGGCTTTGAGTTGTAGTGTTAGAGAAGAGAACCGAATATCCCATGGATGCCAAAAGAACAAGTACGTCTTGGAGTAAGTGCAGCCAAAGTGCTCCTTGGAGGCAAGGGTGGTGACACATACATTGGGCGTGTTGTCAGGAAGGGCTAGTCCTTGGAGAAGGACCTTATGCATGGAAAGGTAGAGGAGTCAGCATAAAAGAGGAAGACCCTTAACCAGGCAGACTGACAGTGACTACAGCAGTCAGTGATCTCAGGTGTATCAGAGATGGTGAAGATGGCACAGGATAGGACAGGGCTCAGTTCTGTTGTTCATAGGGTTGTTATGAGTGATAGGCAACTCAGTGACACCTAACAACAATATACGCATGTTGGAAGCTGGTTGTTGAAAAAGAAGGCAGAGGAGAGTTACAGATTTGAATTGTTATTAGTAAAGAAAACTGAACATTCCATGGACTTGAGGGAAAACCAACATATCAGCTTTCAAAGACACAGAACCACAGTGTGCCTTTGATGGCAGAGGTTTTGTTACAGCAGGAAGGTCACCAGGAAATGCACAGCCTTAAAGATGCTCTTGACTCAGCCCTCGACTGTACCCTGGACTCTAACTGCCATGGACTTGCTCTGAAGTTTGTGCCTTTGTCTCATTTTTTCTCTTTGTAGATCAGTAAGACAGCGCAGAAGTGCAGGAAAACCAACGATCAGTTTAAATCACATGTCCAGAAAAGCCGGGTCTTCAGTGGTCAGCCGGGGTGGCTGCCGCAGCCTGCAGGAAGAAGTGGCCCTCCGGCCCCCTGTGCTGGACGCATCTCTGATCCGGGAGCAGACAAAGGTGGACCACTTCTGGGGTGAGAGGATGTAGCTGCGTCTTCAAGAGCCGACCAAGTGTGATGCTCAGGTGGCTAGCAGATCCACTCCTGAGTGGTGTCTGTGCCTCTTTCTGGTTCGGTTGAGGACCAGCTGGTCCCCAGCTTCATCCATGAACACTGATGCTACAGCCACTGCTTCGTGTGGTTGTGCTAATGTGGATCCGTCTGAGAGTCAGGTGCTATTTTATTTGGATTTGGTTTCTATGTGAAAAATTAGTAACTAGGTGGAGACCAGATGCTGTTTCCCTAGATTCAGTTGTGTGGTTTACACGTCCAGATGGCTCTGGGCAGCAAGAAGGTAGGTGTGGTTAATCACTGGAAAGTGTCACCAAGTAGCAGTGTGGATGCTAGGACAAGATGACACTGGCCCTGTGAGTGGACCTCCTAGACAACAGCAATGGGCCCTGCGCCCTGGCTGCTCCGCCTGCAGCCTCACCAAGGCCACGGTGGGGACAGGACACATGGGCATGGTACGGGGCTGCTCCTTGGAGCTCGTGGTGTGTCTCTTCAGCCCTCTGAGGAAATGGATGATTGGGAGGAACCCCAGTGTCCACACGTGCATGTGTGTGCGTGTGTGTAAGTGGTGATGCCGGGCGAGGCCGCAGGCTGGCCGCGCTGCCTTCTCTGTGGGGAGAGTGGTTTCCAGGCAGCAGCAGTATGTGCTGTGGGATGAGGACCCACTGCCTCAGAGGGGAGCACACCACAATGGGCTCTGGTGCCCTGGTGGTGCTGCATGGAAGGAAGACTTGGCCATCTGAACCCTGAACCCGTGGGCAGTTCTGCTCTGTCCTGGAGCGGTACCATCAGAACCGCCTCTTCTGCCTTGGCCTGGGAGGTGGGGGCCGGCATGGGGGGCTTGTCCACCTTCACTCAGGGTGCTCTGTACGCTTGGAGACTGATGTCTGCGTGGCACCTCTCAGCGCCGAGTCGTGGCCGCCCGGCAGTGCTGCCTCATGAGCACTCAAGCACAGTCTCCTATCTCCTGTCTGGAAGCCTGAGGCTCAGTGCTGTGTGTTTTTTCAGGTCTCGACGATGACAGTGACCTCAAAGGTAAGCGTGTGAGCTGTCGTCCCGTCCCCAAGGCTGTCTGTGGGGCTCCTTGGTGTCCTGAGCAGTTCCTCTGCTGCTGTGCCATCTCAGGTGGGATTAAAGCTGCCTCTCAGGGCAATGGTGACCTCACTGCTGCGGTGGACACTGCCCCCGTCAACGGCTACACCTGCAGTGACTGCAGCCTGCTCGCATCACGCAAGGACGTCCTCACCACGGGCCCCTCCGCCCTCAGGCCCACCTCCTGGATCTACTCCCGGGACAGGAGTCAGAAGTGTAAGTCTCTCTTAGTGGTGAGAAGTTGGAAAGTATCCACGTCCTGTGCTGTCTGCAGCCCTGTGGGGTTGACTTGAGAGTCTTGTCACTGTCTGCCGTGGTTCTGTCTTGGCTTCTTAGCATGGCTCTGATAGACATAACTGTTTATGCCTCCACAGTTAAGGTTGCGAGTCCAGAGTCAGGGTGCCAGCTCTAAGGGCTCTCTACCCCTGGTCAGCTTGAGGGGGTCTTCTGAGGGGTGTTTTCTCCTGGTCTGCTCCTGGGGGGGGTGGTCCTCTCAGGGGTGTCCATCCCTGGTTAGCTCCAGGGGGTCCTCTAAGGGGTGACCTCTCCCAGTCAGCTCGAGGGTCCTTATCTCCTTTCACTTCAGGTTTCTTGCTTCTTTCTATGTCTTTGAGCTGCTCTTTTTCCACTCAGAAAGCGGTTGTTCGGGTCCTGCACTGTCCTGCTGCAGCCTTGTTAACATAACCAGGAAGCTCTTCTTCCCAGAGGTCACCCTTCTCAAGCACACACCTCAGAGGCACACAGTTCCACCTCATTCTTCAGTGTCAGGTGGTCAGTCACCAGGCATGAGCTTTAGTCCACCTCCTCCAGTGAGGGCGTCCGTCATGTGTGGTGCACACTCCGTCCCCATTGAAGCCGTAGTTGTCAGGGTCTTTCTGTGGGCACTGTCTGCAGATGGCGAAGCAGCCTGTCCTGAGCTGTGCTCCCACGAGGTCTCCCCTTGCTCCTCACGACCTCTGTGCCCCACTCTGCTCACCCTCACAGAGAATGTGACAGGCCCTGTGTGGAGTGTCGCATCCTCAGGGTGCCCCTCCTCCGAGGAGACTCACTTGGGGCCACACCAGGCCTGGAGTGAATGTAGGCAGGGGCCTCGTAGACATGCCATTGGTAATCTCTAGTGTGTGCACGCGAGGTCAGGATGAATCACTCAAGTCTGACGTAGTGTAGACGGCCAGCAGATCGGCCTGCTTCTGTATTCCACATCCATCAGGCGTGTACTCTGCCTCTGCCCCTTCCAGAAAGTATGTCTGCCCACAGCCGCCTCCACTCTGGCTGCATTGGTGGCTGGCCAGGGGGCATGCTGACCTGTGGAGGAGTGACGGTCTTCATGGTCTCTTGATAGGCGGTGCGTCTTACTACGTGACTAGGATCTTGTGGCTGGCCAAACGCACCTCGTCGTCTTTCTCCTCGTTCTTGATTCAGCTTTTCCAAGTGGTTCTGATGAAGCTCAATTGCGAGTCAGAGAATTACAGACTGAAACTTTACAAGTCAAAAGACTGTGAGTCAAAAAGCTATGAATCCAAAGGTATTTAAACCATTTTCCTTCTTTCTCCACCAAATAGTGCCTCAAGGTGGAGCGAGCCCTGCACTCCCGTTGTGTCCCTGTCTGTCTCCCCTCCTGTGGCTGCTCTTGGCTGGTTCCGTCTCGGCCACTCTCTCTTGGCCTGCTCTTCTTTCTCTGCTGACCAGCTCTCCTTGTGGAGGATGTGGCCGAATCTCGAAGCCTGGCACTCCGTCCCTCGGCTCAGCTGTCTCTCACGACTGGCTTCCGCTAACTGTGCCGAGGCCAACTCTTGCTCACTCACTGTTCTTGTAGCCAGTTCTCACTCTGGTGGTCAGCGCTGTCTCTCTCTGTCCCTCGCTCTCTCGGTTGCCTCCCCCTCCTCTTGCGGCCAGCTCTCCACTGCTGACTCGACTTTCCAAGAGAGTTTGTGTTGTGTTCCTGTGCTCTGTAAGCTGTTCTACTTTCAGTGCTTAAAGGGTCTCATCTGTTTAAAGGTTAATACACTCAACATTTGCTCTTGATTACCTTTCTAAAGTAAAGACTGTTAGCGTGAGTGGGCTCAGGCTTGTGTTTTCGGGGCATTTGAAGCTTCTGTTCTGCTGAGCACCTTCCTCAGAAGGTGGGTGGAGCCTCTTGGTCTCCTCACACTAGACCTCTTGTCACCAGACTTACCTGCACTCACCTGTGTCCTGTGAGCCTTTGAAGGTTGGAACCTCCATGGTCAGCTCTCTGTACTCCTTCACACTGGCCTTGAACCCAAGCAGCACCCACGCTTAACGCCAAAATGGTCTCTGAGCCTCTGTCACTGTCACAGCCCCATCTATACCTTCCCAGCTTTGTCACTCTCACTGTCACAGCCCTATCCACAACTTCTCAGTTCTGACACTGCCACAGCCCCGTCCACACCATCCCAGCTCTGTCACTGACACTGCCACAGCCCTCTCCACACCCTGCTAGTTCTGACACTGTCACTGTCACAGTATCATCCACCCCCCCAGTTCTGACACTGTCAGTGTCACAGCCACATCCACACCCTCCTAGTTATGGCACTGTCACTGTCACAGCCACGTCCACACCCTCCCAGCTCTGTCTCTGTCACTGTGTTACAGCTCTGTCTGGGCTGGCCGGGGGAGTGGAGGTGACGGAGCTGCTAAGGAAGGATGTGCACCTTGGCGTGGATGGGCAACCCATGTGTGAGTAGAACCCTGGCAGGGACACGGCCTGGGTCTCCACTCCTGTGCCAGCTCCTGGTGAGGCAGAAGGGGACCACATGTGCTGTGGTTCATGTGGACGGGGCTTGCGGCCAGTGCTTAGCCCTGGAAGATGATAGGAGGACCCTTCAGTCGCATCTGCTGGGACGCGAGCTCATAGCTGGGTTCCCGGTATTTCTGGGCACTGTGGGCACAGGGAAAGCACTGTCACATGAGCTGCTTGTCGCCCCCACAGGTGACAGCTGTAGGGAGAAGAAAGAGCATCTGGACATACACCCTTCCTGCCAAATGCCGCTGTCACAGTCACGCCAGGCCATCAGGGCAGCAGGCCACACCTTCTCCTCTGCAGGTTGTCTCTTGCTAGCGCCCCCTCTTTGTGCGTTTAAGGGACTGCAGATGCCACTGCTCCTGCCCCGGCTTCGGTGGAGCTGGTGTGAGAGCCCTGCTAGTTCACACCACAGGAGCAGGGCAAGCTCAGGCACAGCGTCTGTTGTCTGGCATGTGCATTCTGTACTGGCGGCTGAGTGAAGAGCAGCTGCTCCCAGGTTGCAGTTCATGGCATCCCTGTTGGCTGGCCCTTCTGGAGAGCTGGTTTACAGACGGCCCTAGTTGGGCAGCAGGGTCGTGCCATGACGCTGAAGTCTGCCACCTGTGCTCCGCACGGTTCCTGGTTAGAGGACTTCTTTCTTAGAAGCTCTGTTCTAAAGTTGAGCTTCACACATACTCATCTCTTAATTGTTGACTAAACAGGGAATTGATTTTTAAACATTTATCTTCAACCTCATTTCCTCAAATATCAGCTAGTCTGGAATGCATTTCCTGGGTTTTTAGGGGTCATAGGTACTTAGTTTATGTAATATGGAGCTTCCAAATATGGGCCCTTGGGCTTTACAGGAGAACCCTGCTCGGTCAGGGGTTCATTACACACTTAATTGCTACCTTAAAGATTGGTGATTCTAGGGAGCTGTGGTGGCCTAGTGGCAATAAGCTGCACTGCAAGCCCAGAGGTATGTGGCTCAAATCCACCAGATGCTCTGCTGGAGAAGGAGGGGCAATCTCCTGTACCAGTCAGATCCGATTTGATGGTACACACACACAAAAATAATAAAAAAATTTTAATTAAAAAAAAAGCTTGGTGGTTCTAACCCCCAGCTGCTCTGAGGCAGGCGATGAGTAGTCTGCTCGCATAAACCCCATGACCCTGTGGGCCTTTCGCTGTTCTACAGGGGCAGCAGGAGGGTAGGGGACTTTGGCTTCTTCACTTACATTCAGGGTGTCTGTGTGCAGACGGTAGGGAGGTTTCCATTTTGAGGAAGGAGAGTGCTCCTCACACCTGAAATAGTTTATTTCTTCCTAAAAAAAACCCAGGACTCGGATGCAAGTGAGGGTTGGCACGATGGGCAGCAGTGGGTGCGCGGTGCTGTGTACTGGGAGCACGGCTCTGCGCTGGAGCACGTGGCCAGCCTCTTGTCCATGTCTCGTCCACACAGGTCACGTGCTGGTGCAGGTGCTGCGCAGGGCCACCGCTGCAGGGCGGCTCGTGTCCTCGGCCGTGTGCTCGGCCCTTTGGCTGACCATGACCGCTCCAGGTGGTTATTCCAGCGTGTGGCTGCGTCCTCTCCCAGGCTTTGGCTGTCGTGTACCCATGCCATGCGTCTAACCAGACCGGGTCTCCTGGCTTGTGCCCCCTGTGTGACTGTGCTGTCCTGACCTCTGACATGCTCCCTGGCCACGTGTGCTCATGAGTGGTCTTTGTTCATGCTGTGTGGGGCTGTGAGTCCAGCTGAGGGGTGTGAGTGTGGTTTCCATGTCCAAGCATCACTCATCGTCGTGTCTGGCCATGGTGACCAGTGCTTGTGAGCCTCCCTCTTGGCCCCTGGTGCATGCTCACAGCTTTGCTGGCATGTCTCCTGAGGCTCCAGCTGGGCCCTTTCTGAGTACACCTTCCTTGAGCAATCTGAATAGGCTGGGGTCTTCTCTTCCAGGGAAGGTGGCCTCGGGGGTCTTCTGGTGGCTGGGGTCTGGATGGTACCAGTTTGTCACTCTCATATCTTGGCTGAACGTCTTTCTTCTTACAAGGTAAGGATACTAGGCTGCGCCAGCTCTGCCTTGATGACAGGAGGTAGTGTGCTTTGTCCTTCTTTGATGATCTGTGTGTAGGTCCTGTTGTCTTTCATGTCCAGCCTATTTTCATAAAGGGCTTTCAAACCAGTCCTGTGAGCTGGGCAGGCAAGTGGCGCCCTTTAAGAAACCAGCAGTGTGGGCACTCAGAGCAAATTACCATCCAACCCGGTCGGGCCGGGATTGCATCCGAGTCCTCTGATCCTGTGTCTTGGTGCTGGGTAACCCCTAGGAGGCAGAGATGGTCAGGGGAGGCAGTTCCTGTAGCCAGGCCTAGTGCTGGTTGTGTAGATGGGGCACCGTTTCCCGGAGAGTGACGACCTGTAGGAGAGACCACCTCATATGGAGACCTTGTGTAAGGTCCTGTAAAAGGCCACTGTAAGTGTCTGCAGGTCCTGGAGGGGAAACCACTCTGGGCTGGAGGTAGGGGTGATTCTTATGAACCACTAAGGGTGAACGCTTCCCCTCACCCCAGGTGCCTTCGGAATGTTTGCAAGGTTTCCATCCTGCTCCTCCCACTGCTCCTCTTACTTGGTGAGTGAGGTTTGTCAGTACTACTGTGGATGATGAGGCGGGTGGGCCGGGGGTGTCTGTGGACATGCCGACACAGCTCCTTCCCTCTCTGTTCCAAGGGGCGAGTCTGGCGTTGTGGGGCCAGGGTGGATTCCATTCACTTCTGCCTGTGCTCAACTGGACGAGCGTGTTCCAGATGCAGAGGGTAGATGACCCCAAGAGTGTGCTCCCGCCAGAGGCTTCTCGCCTGTACCCCCTGCCCGAGGTAACCGTTGGAGGCTGCACCAGGGTCCGTGGCTGCTTACTCTCATGGTAGATGTTCATACTTGTGGGAGCCGCCTGGCTCGGAGGCATCTTCTCAGAGATCCCTTTACATATTAGAGGGCAAATCTTAGAGCACCTTGAGCAAAACCAAAAAACCCAGCAGCGTTGAGGCCATTCTGACTCACCTGAGGATGTAGAACTTCCTACGAGATCTCCAAGCCTGACCCTCACAGAAGCAGAGGGTCTCAGCTTCCTCCCAGAGAGCAGCTGGTAGTTCAGCCCAGCAGTGTCCATCGGCAGCCACGTACTTTAACTGCCCGATCCAGGGCTCGTGTCCTGCTGCTTATGTATGCTCAAGTGGTTCAAATAGCAAGGTGTCAGGTAATCTCACTGCTCAACCAGTTCTACCTTGGAAAAGCAGAATGGTATTGACTAGCAAGGTCAGTGCAGGTTGTGGAGAACATGGGTGCCCTCTGGCGGTCTACAGCCCAGCTCCCTGTCACATGTCCACCAGCCCTTCCTCGGGGTTCCTGCAGCCTTGCTCCAACTCACTTGCACACACACATGCACACTCAACGTGGACTTTCCCTGAACCTTTTAGGGCGATGGTGGAGATGCTTGGCACTGGCCCAAACTGAGTGACGTGGAACAGCAAGTGATGGAGTTGACCGGGAGGTGTCGGCTCCAGGACGAGAAGCTCCGAGAGCTGACACTGTTGCTGCAGAGCCTGCAGGCCCGTGCGGACCAGGCAGACACTGACCGGGATGGGGTGCTGTCGCTCGTTCACCAGCTGATGCAGAAGCAAGTGACTGACACCCCTGACACCACGGTAATGCCAACAAGAACCCCTCATTTTCTTTCTTGATGACCATCTCTACTCATATGTGTGTGCACTGAACTCCCAGCATGGGGAGACAGGCCATAAGGCGCTGGTGCTTGGTGTATGCACACGTGTGTGGCTGAACTCTCAGCACAGGGACAGGCCACAGGGTACTGGCACTCAGTGTGATGTGTGTGTTCATGTATGTGTGTGGGCCTGAGATCACAGCACAGGGAGACACATCACTGATGGGGGGGGCATGTCTCTGAGCTCACAGTACAGGGAGACGGTGTAGGATGTGTATGGGGGGGTGTGTGTATGTGTGTGTGGCTGAGAGACTGAGCTCACAGCAGAGGAAGACAGGGCGCTGACACTCTGTGGGTTATGGGGTTTGTGTATATGTGTGTCTGAGCATGGGGGGAATGGTGCTGACACTCAGGTGTATGTGTATGTGTGTCAGAGCTCACAGCATGGGGGGAACAGGGCACTGACTCTCAGGTGTGTGTACATATGTGTGTCTGAGCTCACGGCACGGGGGAAGAGGGTGCTGACACTCAACTGTGTGTGTGTGTGTGTGTGTGTGTGTCTGAGCTCAGGGGAACAGGGCATGTCCACATAAAGGAGCCCCTGTGTGCGCTTATCGTGCCCTCAGGACTGCCAGCCTCACTGCTCTGGGATGATCCTGCTTGTAATCTGGGACTCCTGAGCCCAGCTTCCTGCTGAACTGCTTCCTTGTGCTCTTTTTAAACCTGTTTTTTCTACATGAATGTTTAGAAACTAGCTTAGAGGGGCACATGTTGTCTGAAAACACTGCCACACCTCACCTACTTGTTGGAGGGCCCACCTTCACCCAAGCCATTCTCTGTTCTGCCCTCCCCAGGTGTCTCAGGTCACCATACCATGGTTTCATCTTCTAAAACTCATAAATGTAGGAATACACTCAACCATTTGTCGAGGTGTTTGATCAGTTAGCTGCTGATGTTGTAGAAAGTCTTCTCTTCTGAACTGATGCTGTCACTGATACACCCCTCACCCAGCCACGCAGATTGCTGGTCAGTGCTAGCCCAGTACTGTAGCCATGTGATAAACTCTGATTCTGAATCAGATTTTCAGGTGTTCTTGGGGAACATTGTTATGTCCTGGGCTTCACAGGTGGGTGAAGTGTTGTGGAAGGTGAGGGAGTGTTTGTCCACGCGATTACATTACATTGTGATGTGGGAGGTTGTTGGTGGACGCAGTAGCCCAGAGCTGCCCCCTGGAGAGTGTGCTTTAGGAATCGCAGGGCTTGACCATCCTTCTCCCCTAGAAAAGCAGCCTCTGAATTCCTCAAGTTAACAGGTGATGAGACATTCCTCACTGGTGCCCCTCGGCACCACACCAGCAAGTCCTAACACTGGCTGTGGAAAGCCCTCGGCTTACCCTCTGGGTAGGCTCTTCTGGGCATCATCTGTCTCTCTATTCTCTCAAGGCCGCCCTAACGACCTTCCACCAGAATTACGAGCTACGGATCTCACACCTGGAAGATGTGATTGGAAAGCTGACAGAAAGATCTGAGGTATGTTCTTGACTTTTCTTCCAGCTCCCAACGGAGGGGTGGCTTATCAGGACCTCCTCTTGGGATGGCATCCTGTCTGAGACTGACAGCAGTATCTGGGATGTCCTTGGGTAGTTCTGGGCTACAGCCTTCACTGTGTAATAGGTTTACCTTACGCAGGGACTCTAGGGTGATAGCCATAGTTGGTGGCCCCTGCTCTGAGGTGGGAGGAGGATGGTCAGCACCCCCTTCCGTGGTAGGGAGGTAGGGTGAGGCTGGGTGGAGGGAGTAGGGGCAGGGCCATGGTCCCTCCTGTGGTCGGAGGAAAGTGGAGCGGGAAGGTGATCACTGCCCCTCCCAGAGGGGGCTTGAATCCAGAAGCTGTCATACTGTGAAGCCAACTTCAGTTTCCAGGGACATGACAGGTGACCCTATGTTGTCCCAGCAGTGCCCTGGGAAGGCTTTCTGGCAGGTGTGGGCTATGGGCTAAGAGCAGAGCAGGCAGGTATTGCAGTGGCAACGTCAGCAGCTCCGACCTGCGAGCAGTGCCATCACAGGTGCCTGAACAGGTCTTCTCACGCTTTCAGGCCATGCGCAAGGAGCTGGAGGAGTCCCAGCAAGGGACAGCCAGGTAAGGGGATGCACATACGCCCCACTCTCTGCTTTTGCACTTGGGTTTCCCTGAGGCACCTGCCTTGTCTCTGTTACTCCGGAGCATCTGGCCCCAGCTCTGTCTACAACACCCACTTCTCTGCAGCAGAAGAGCCCCATGTGGTGGCTGTCACCCCTCCTGCGGGATGTGAGCAGATAGGGACATGGCGCTACAATGTCTTAACCGTGCAGCCATGAGCGCCAGCCCTGCGGCTGCACAGGTCCCCCGTAGGGCCTTAAGCACACAGATGGCTTCTCGAGAGTGACTGAGGAGACCTGACAGCACCGTGGTTCACAACTACCCAGCAGCTACGCATGGGTGAGCCTGGTGATGTGCTGTGTGAGGACGGCAGCCTGGGGGCCCTTGGGCCCACTGGACTCTGTGGCACAGAGTTCTCTTGACTGGGTCCATCACAGCACCAGACACCAGAGTGTTGAGCAAGAACCAGCTTCCAGGTGGCCATCCCCACTGAAGGACAGCCTCTCTGGATGTGTCTAGTAGCCCCCATGTGGGCGTGCGTGTACCTCTGACACTTGAGGGACCCTGTGTGATTTCCTTGCTAAGTCAGGACAGAGGACGGCCTTGGTGCTGTTCACTCGCTTGCTCAGGGTCTGCTGCTCTGCTGTCTCCAATTCTAGGCCTTAGATTTGAGCCTCACTGACCCCTGCTTACCTTCCAACAGGACGACCGACGAGCAGCACCTGCTGTCCATGGTCCAGCAGCTGGAGCTTCAGCTGGAGCAGCTCAAGTCAGAGCTGGCTAGCTGGGGGCAGGTGCAGACCAGCTGTGAGCGTGCGGACAGCATCCACGAGCAGGTCAGGCACCAGCTTTGTCCGGGTAGAGTGAAGGCAAGCCTGTGTCAGCAGCTTGGGCTTCTCAGTTCAGAATAACAGATGGGGTCCTTCTCAGATTCCCCACTCCAGGGCAGTGAGAACACATGTGAATGTTTATTTGGAGGCATGGGGTATATGTACTTTCCTGTGACCTTCGCCTGCCTTCCCTTCTGGTGTGTTTCCTCCTGTCTGGGTGGGTGTCCATTGTGCCCCGTCCTTAAGCAGAGGAGAAAGCGCAGACATCTAGAGCTGCGCAGAAATGGGAAAAGTTGCCTGACTCAGCTCTTAGCATGGATGGGAAGGGGTCAAAGTTTCTATCTGATGTGTCGCCACAGACACGTGGCCCTGTGCACCAGAGCAACTGCATGTCAGCCCATAGGTGGGCAGAATGGAGCCCATGGCCACAGAGTGGGCAGCGGTGTCTTTGAGGCTCGTGAGACTTAATTCACCCTTTTTAGCACAGAATTCTGCGATTTTCATCAACTGAAATGCACCTGTCCTTTGCACTGGTAGTCATGGTCCAGGGGCTCTGCCTTCGCAGATGCAGGGACTGTGATCAAGGGCGGGAGCGGGATGCTGTCGGAACAGTGTCTCCACGAGTGTGAGAAGAGTGTGCAGGTGGCACCACAGTTCCGTGTCAGCTCTGTCCTGTCCCCCTTGTAGACCTGATTTGTTGAGGTCATGAGCTCTTATTCTCCTTGCCCCCAAGCTGGGTTACTGCTGAACAAGGTGACATAATTCCTTCGCACAGACTTCACTTCTTGGGTCATCTAGTGCTATCCCTGTTCTCTTAAGCTATGCGACATTTCTGGAGGCTCAGACTTCACTTCTGGGCTCTTGTTTCATCTAGTGCTATCTCTGTTCTCTGAGCTATGCGACATTTCTGGAGGCTCCTTAAAGCTTAGCGTGAAGGAGTTGTATCACGTTCACGCGAATTTGAGACGTGAGGTACCTGAAGTGGAGAAGTGAAAGTTTGACGTGATCTCATAAAACCAAACTGACAGCCCGCTGACCAATGGTCTTGTCAGGTGGACACCCAGATCCGAGAGACAGTCAGACTCCTGTTCTCCGAGCAGCTGCATGGCGCCCCCGACTGGCTGCTCCAGACACTGTCCGCTCAGTTTGTTGGCAAGGATGAGCTGCAGGCCCTGCTGCGGGACCTGGAGCTGCAGATTCTCAGGAACGTCACCCACCACCTTGCTGTGACGCACCAGGCACCCACGTCCGAGGCGGTGGCGTCCGCTGTGCACCAGGCAGGCGTCCCTGGGATCACCGAGGCGGTGAGTCCACCACGTTGCATAGGGTTGTGGTCTGGCTCAAGTCTAGTGGCATGCAGGCACAGCTCTTCCCCACGTTGTGCGCTCACTTTCTGTCCCTGTGTCCAGCCTGACCATTCTCCCAGAGTTGGGATTTCTCCGCATGCTGTTGACACTTTATTGACAGTCCTGTGTAAATGGAATCTTTCTGTGTGCCGGGGACCAGACAGGTCAGCTGATGCACTGTTGGGATGCTCACTTTCTTGTGCCTGGAAGCACACATGCAGCAGCTCCTAGGCCACCCGGTGCCCCCAGTTCAGTGGGATTCTCCCGGTCAGGCCATGGTCAGGTCAGGGTGCTGAAGGTCAGTAAGGAGGTGGTCTGCTCCGTAAAGATGGCAGCTGTCCTCTTTGCAGTAGGACCTATGTGAGCCAGAGTGGCGTTTTCATAGCCACCTGGCCTTCACGTGGATGTCCTTCTGGTCAATCCTGCAGCAAGCACGCGTCATTGTGAACAATGCCCTGAAGCTGTACTCTCAGGACAAGACTGGCATGGTGGACTTTGCCCTCGAGTCTGGTGGTGAGTGGACAGCTCCCTGACGGCTGAGGTGGGCACTTGTTAGCAGGGTTGGAAAGCTGAGAAAGGAGGTCACTTCTTTTCCCATTGTGGAAGGGCTCAGATGAGCGCATCTTTCTGGGGGTGTTTCTCAGGGCTTTTCTTGCTTCCTGATGGCTGTTTGGGTGCAGTGGGCTGGGGTCACGTGAGCCACACAGTGATCAGCTGGGTGGAACCCCGGATGGTGTCATGAGTCAGGGCAGGACTATGGTGCCAGGCCTGCCCCAGGGACCACGACAGCTCAAAAAGGCTGGCTGTTGACAGGGCAGGGCAGTGTCCGTCTGCTGGGTACAGGAGGCCTGAGTTTAAGGACACTTTCCATTACGGCCTCATCCTTTAGCATTGGTAGACCAGTGTGTTCCTACAGGGGCTCAAGCCTCTCGTTACCTTTACTAGGTCACAGAGCTGGGGTCCTGCAGGAAGCTGGGGAGCTCGTCCACCTGCCCACCCCGGGAATAGAGAAGTCGGAGGAGGGAGCCGCAGGGTGGGATGTAGGTCTTTAGCAGGAATTTCCCCTCTGCCCATCCAACTGTATCTCCTGGGCTCCCCAAGACCCAGTGTGCTCTCTGCCCTGTTTGCTGTTAAAGGACATAGGAGACTTTCAAATTGTCTGTGACCTAACTGTAGACACACAGCACAGAATGGTGATGCTCCGTCCACACAGACAGCCCCGCTCACAGGCCATCATGTCCATGTGGCCTGACTGTGACACTGAGCACATGTAACCCTGATGCCCTGCCTCTGTGCAGCCCCGCGGCCTGCAGCGCTCACTGGCTGTGCGAGCACGTGCGGCTCCAGCGCTGACACTCAACTCTGCTTTAGGCGGCAGCATTCTCAGCACGCGCTGCTCAGAGACCTACGAGACCAAGACGGCCCTCCTCAGCCTCTTCGGGATCCCGTTGTGGTACTTCTCCCAGTCTCCGCGGGTCGTGATTCAGGTGAGTGGAGGGCTTCCCTCAGGGGCCGCTGCTCAGCTGCTTGGGTCCAGGGTGCCAGCCATCCCTGTGGCTCCACTCAGGGGAGGAAGCATGGCCAGCACTCCCCACATCCCCTCTGAGCACCCAACGGCCGTGATCCTCTGACTGTGGCCTGCTCCCCATGAGCTGGTCCGAGAGAGAGAGAGAGTGAGTGTGAGTGTGAGTGTGAGTGTGAGTGTGAGTGTGTGTGTGTGTGTAACCTGTGGTTCTGCTGCAGACAAAAGCAGACCCAGTGCCCAGGCACAGCGCCCCCTCTTGGCTCGCTGGTGGCATTGCTGCTCATGCAGCTGTGTTACATCCTGTTCTTTCTGTCGTCGAGTTCGCCTTGAAGCACAACCACCCTGGGTACATGACAAACCCTGCCCTGTCCTGAGCCGTCTGCAGTCACTGCTGTGCTGGAACCCATTGCTGCAGGCTCGGCGTCGGTTACTCTCTTCGTCATTATCAGAGGCCCTTTCCTTTACCTTGTGAAAGCATGTCCAGAATGAATGACACAAAGTCTGACCTCTCCTGAGCTTTCTGGCAGCATTCTTCCAAGGCAGATGTGTTCATTCTTCTGCTGTTCACTGGTGGTGTCTGTTTCTTACCAGTGCCACCGTTCGTGCATGGATGGCATTTAACATTATGTAAGGCCGAGCATCTTTTGTTTTGTTTTGTTTTTACAGCTTTATTTAGAAAAACAAGTCTAGGCTCCAGTGCACCTCTGCCCTCCCCCCAGCTATAACTTAAATAACTTAGATGAGCGGAGGGTCGGGAATTAGGAGGCAGGGCTGGGGGCAGAGGGCGGAGAGGGCTTTGTGTCTATGTCAGTCATCTTCTTGGCTGCCATCTTCCTGTCGTGCACACCCATGTGCTTCTTGGCCATGGGCCCATCGGCGCCTGGGAGCCCGGGCAGAGCATGGGGGCTGTGGCTGTGGCATCCCATGGATCTCCGTGAGCAGCTGGGCACGCACCACGTACTCGTATTTCTCCAACAGAAGCGGCCCCCCTCCTCATCGAGCATGGACTTGGGGTTCCTGTGGATCAACAGGCACTTGATGGTCAGCAGCACATTGCGAATGCCCAACTCCACCGTCCAGTCCTGCTTCAGCACTTTGCCACAGATCTTGCCATTGGTGCCTCCATTGGGTGGAAGATCTTAGTCAGGGAGCTTCATGCGAAAGAGGCCTCCGGCATAGGGGTTGCCCTCAGGGCCCTCAATGGTGACCTGCAGTTCAGTGAAGTCGTGGTCAGGCAGGTCAGCAGTCAGCCTGGTCACCACCTTGTACACTAGGCGGATGATGTGTGGGGCAGGTTCTCCACATCGGACTTAATGGTTGCGGCCAACCAGGGTCAGGTGCCGTGTTCCATCATCTCCCTCTCGCCCCCCGCCTTCTTCCTGCTCTCCTCTGGCCGGTGGCGGGGTGGGATGGCGGAGCCTACAACTGCCACTGTGGCCCTGGCGAGGCCCCGTCAGCCTAGCTCCACTAGCAGTTGCCTCCAAAGCCGCTGTGCACTGCACCCACCCCTCCTCTCACCCCGGCTTCCAGTCTGCACTGAGTCCTTTTTATTTTATTTTTTTAAGGTAGATCATTGTTCTTTAAAAAAAAAAAAACCAACTTTATTTAACTTAAGTTGAATGTTTACAAAGCAAATTGATTTTCAACAATCTTAGACATTTTGGTTTGTCTCCTTCATTAAATCCCCACGTGTTGTCAAACTTTCCCCACTTCCTTTCTGTGAGTTGCATTTCCATTAATCCATCTGGGCTGTATCCACAGGCAAATGCTGCCCTTTTGTCCTTCTGTGGCTGGTCATTCAAAGGTGTGGGTGCCTCCCCGGTGCTGCTGGTCACTTGCAGGCCTGCATGTTGTCCAGTTAAATGCCAAGCAGAAGTGGTGAGATCTGCTTCAGGGTCACAGGAGAATGAGGGCCACTGCATTGGGACTTCCAAGTGTCTTCTCATGTTTGTGAACCACTCAGCCCATTTTCCTTTGAAACATGTTTGTATCCCTTGCCTGAGTTCCTGTGAGGATTTGTATGAAGTTGCAGACCTTCCCTGTGTCTTCTGATTGCTCGCTGGCCCAGCAGTCTGCTCCCATCTCTTCCAGCCTTCTGTCTTCTCACACCTGAGCACCATCTATGTCTGCTTCTCCACAGCCTGACATCTACCCTGGAAACTGCTGGGCGTTCCGTGGCTCCCAGGGCTACCTGGTGGTACGGCTGTCAATGATCATCTACCCAGAAACCTTCACCTTGGAGCACATCCCAAAGACACTGTCGCCGACCGGCAACATCACCAGTGCCCCAAAGGACTTCGCCGTCTATGTGAGTATGCCAGTCGGAGCGCCCCAGGTGGACGAAGGCTGGCGATGAGGGGCTTCAGGTGGCTTCCTGTGACAGCACTGTGTGTGGTGCTAAGCAGATCCCTTCAGACCTGCTGCCTGCGACTGTGACTGCTCTGTTTGGACAAGTGCTAGATGCTGGAGCAGCTGAACAGTGTAAAAATAAAATGTCATTTGATCTGTAGGATTAGAAAAACATGAAACTGGTCAGAGAACACCTGTAATCCCGGCACCCTGAGAAAGCCATCACTGGCACGGTGCTTTCTGGTCTCTCCCCAACTCTGTAAAGCATGAAGAAGGCAGTACTGTGTGTCTGGTTCCACCTTCAGCCTATGTCCGTAGGGGTAGCCCGTGGGTGTGCAGGCTGAGAGCCACACTCCTTCCTGTGACAGACAGTCTGGTCCCGGTCACTCGTAGTTGGCAGCCCCTCTTCAGCCTCAGTGTGCTTTCTCTGGGCAGTGAGCAGTAGTGCCTTCTGAGGAGGGGCGGAGTTTGCTTGGCGAGAGCAGATGTCAGGCACATGATATGACAAATGGCTGCTGCCTCTGGACTAAGTGGCCTCCTTTCCAAGGGAAAGTGCCCTGCTGGTCCATTCTGGTCACTTCATGACTCTGGTCTGGTTTCAGGGACTGGAAAATGAGCATCAGGAAGAAGGGCTGCTTCTGGGACAGTTTACATATGATCAGGATGGAGAGTCCCTCCAGATGTTCCATACGCTGGTGAGCCCTGGGCGCACGTGGCCCTTCCTGTCCCCTGCCCTGTTCTCCCATCAGACAGAACCCGCTGTTGGGAAAACAAGCTAAGGCATTGGCGCTCCTCTTCCGGTGGGGCCTGCAAGTACTCCTGTGGAATGCACTGCGTCTGAGCGGCTTCTGGGCACCGGCTCAGGCTCAGTGCCACCAGTTCTGCCAAGGCGTGCTCACAGGGTCCAAGCAGGCCGCTTGTCACCTATCCAGGGTCTTAGGCCATCAGCAGCTCTGACTTGCCCATGCTTCCTGCATTTCAGACACGACCAGAGAAAGCGTTTCAGATTGTGGAGCTTCGGATCTTCTCCAACTGGGGCCACCCAGAATACACATGTCTGTACCGCTTCAGAGTCCACGGAGAGCCCATCAAGTAGAGGCTCCATCCACGTTCTCGGATGCTTGTGGACATGACCTCCTGGCACGCGGGAGCCCTCCTGGCCAAGGTCACAGAACACAGCTACCCCAATAAACATTTCCAGAACACCTGTGGGCCAGTGGTGGTCGGGTGCCCAACTCACTGTCGCGTCCACTTTGTGTCTGTGATGCTTGTGCAGGGACCCTGGCTGCCCACTCTTCCCTCACAGAGTCTGTGACAGCACATTCTCATCGGGCACCTGTTGGTTCTGGGGATTCACATGAACGCAAAGCTCTTTGGTTCTCTCCACGTCAGGAACAGAGTGAGTGAGCTTAGCAGGTTGGTTGTGTTTTCACTAGACTTTGGAAAGACCTCGGGGCATTCTGCTCTGCCTGATAACTTCAGCACGTGCTTCTTTCAGGGACAAAGTCACCAAATGTCAGAACCCTCAGCGCCTTGTTTAGGCGGCCTGTCCTTTCCCACAGCACCAGCTCCCTTTGCGTGGCCCTCGGCACAGGGCCAGGCAGCAGTCAGGCTCGTTCTCAGCTTGGTTTGTGCTTGCTTCTGAAAAGGGTTTCTGAGCCAGGGCTCCACCTTCACCTCAGGGTGACAGGACCAGGCCTCCTCCCTGGAGTTTTGCTACATCAGCTCCGAGCTCTACCACATAGGGAACACTATGTACTCTGGCATCTTCCAGGCTCCGTTTTTACTTCCTGATAGTTTTCCAGCCTTCTCCACCACAGCCAATGCAGGAGACCCTTTGTTATACAGCTGTCCTTTCTCTGATAAAAGTGTTTTCTACTGGCCCTTACCTCTCCCCCACATGCCGACCTTCCTCCCACATGTCGAACTCCCCAACTGGTTCTTTTGAAACTCATTTTGGTGATTATTTAATGTTTAGACTATTCAGCAGACTTTATAAAAGAGATGGCTGCAGGGCGCATGAAGTATCCAGATGATTGTCCCGTACAATTTTCTGTCTGATGAGTTAGGATCGTTTAGGCATCCTGGGGCTGTTGTGTCTTCAGAGCAGCTGAGATGAGGTGCTGCCTGGCTCCCCACCAAGGCTTGTGCCACCTGCTCAGTAACCCTCAGACACACAGCACCTCAGAGACCACCCTGCCCAGAACGAGCATATGCAGTGAAGGTGGGAAGAGGTGTACAGATGTCCCTATACTACTCACAAGTTAAATATATGTCAGAATGTCCTATATAAAGCGGAATTGGGGGCTTGGGCGGAAATATTTTGAATATTAATTTATTTTTAAAGATGCAAGTTAGGACTTTGTGCAAGGTATTTTTGTAAATGCTTTTCAAACTATTGGTCTTTGGTAGTTTCTTTTGCTGCCACCAAACTGATAAGATGCTATTGAGATGTTTAAATAAAGAGATTTAATTTTTAAACGTGTATGTGATGTTTCAAATGAATACTAAATCACTTCTTTTCTCAACGTTCTTGTTTCAGCCATGGGGTGGGGTGGGGGCAGTAAGCTGCTGCTGCCATTGTTGGGTTGTCCATGTGGCTGGAGGTGCCCTGCAGAGGTTGTCCTGTAGCCTCGCTTATGGGGATCCTACCTGGATTGCTGATGCCCTGTGGGCCTGAGGTGAGCTGCCATTCCACAGGATCCTGCTGTCCATGTGCACCTCACCAGGGGCAGACGAGGGCCAGTCTCACAATAACAACCAAACAGAGTTTACTGGTCACCTACCTGCTAGAATTTGGGCAATAGAGACAAGGTCCTGGGAGGGCAGGTCTGCAAACATGGGTGTGGGCGCAGGGGCCAAGGACAGGAAGGTCAAGGCCCTGGGAAGGATGGGGCTGAGAATACCAGGAGGTAAGGGGGGTAGAAGGATGACATTTTGGGAGGAAAGGACAGGGCCTGGTGGGGTGATGTGAGCAGAACCTGGCTGAACCCTGGAGAAGCCCAAGCTTGTCCCAGGCCAGGGAGGCGGCCAGAGAGATGGTCATGAATGCTCCTGGGGCATTCAGCATCTGCAGCCCCTATTGTGTGCAGGACGAGTCCTCACACCCTGGTTGTGTCCTGAGAGCAGCCCTCTTTGTCACTTCTCCCCTGTACCTGCCAACACTCCTGTCTTACAGTGTCCCCGAGACCTCAGAGATTACCCCCAGAAGAACAGTGTGCCTCTGCGCCCTGCAAGCCTGTCCAATAGCCCATACTCACTTGGGTTGGATGCAGCCTTGGGCCTCTTATTCATGCTGCTGCCACAAAGGCCATACGTAGACCTCAGGGCAGTGCCAGCCTCACATTCTGTGTACCTGGCTTTATCACTGGTCAGAAACAAGCCATGTCCTTGAAAAACTTCTCTTTTAATGGCTATGCGGTCTTCGAGCTGCACAAGTGGATCCGTTTAGAGGGCCCGACCCCATGTGATTCTGCCCAAAGCATCCTTGATTATAGCAACTCAAGGTTTGAATTTGTTCTTCAGTTCCTTGAGCTTAAGAAATGCTGAGCGAGTTCACCCCTTTTGATTTTCTGACTCCTGCTCCTTGCATATTTCATTGTAATATTTTGCTTTGTCATCCCGTGCTGCCTTTTGGAATCTTCTGTTCAGCTCTTTAGTATCTTGAATTCTTCCTTCTGCTTTGGCTTCTCTGTCCTCCAGTGCAATCTTCAGTTTATTCTGACATCCATTTTGGTCTTTTCTTCCTCTGCCTTTGTAATGACCGTTTGCACTCTTCCTGCATGATATCCTTGATATCCTCCCACAACTCATTTGGTCTTTGCTCATTAGTGTTCAAAGCCTCAAATCTGGTCCTGACATGGTTCTGAAATTCAGGTGGGATAGACTCAAAGTCATATTTTGGTTCCCATGGATTCAGTTTAATTTTCCCCAGCTTCAGCTTGAACTTGCATATGATTAGTTGGTGGTTTGTTCCACAATCAGCTCCTGGCCTAGTTTTCACAGCTGATATTGAGCTTCTCCAGCGGTTCTTTCTGCAGATGTAATCAATCTTATTCCTATGCATACTATCCGGTGAAATACATGAGTATAACATGTATTTGTTTCTTATAAAATGTATTTGCAATGAATAAGTCATTGATTGTGCAAAATTCAATCATTCTATCTCCAGCTCCATTTCTGTCACCGAGTCCATGTTTTCCAACTACTGAATCTTCTCTGTTCCCAACTTTTGCATTCCAGTCAGCCATTATTATCAATGCATCTTGATTGCACGTTCGATTGATCTCCGACTGTAAAAGTTGGTAGAATCATCTATTTCTTCTTCTTTGGCTCTGGTTGTTGCTGCTAATATCTGAATGATAGTGGTGTTCACTGGACTTCCTTGTATGCGTATGGATATTATCCAGTCACAATATTGTATTTCAAGATGGATCTAGAAATGACTTTAACTACAAAAGCAACCCTATTTTTATTTTTATATTAAATGATCCAGGAAGTATTAAAAGAAGATGGAAAGAATATACTGAGTCACTATCAAAAGGAATTGACGGACACAGAAGAATTTAATGAAATAGGAGCAAGAGCCTACGGTGATGAAGGAAGAAGTTCAAGCTGCTTTGAAGGAAATAGCAAAAAATAA